ATCGCATAATTCACAATAAAACATTAAAAAAAAAAATCTTTACAGGAGAGCTAGTGGCCAGGTCTTTTCTCCTTTGGAACTGCTAGTGGGTTCCAGTGAGTGACCTTTCAGTTGGGCCGTTAACCAGTGGGCCCTAGGTCAATTCTCTCACGGGAGCAGATAGCCTCATCTTTCTCCCTCAGAGTGATGGGGGGGGGTGGACAACTGACCTTACAGTTAGCAGTCCAGTGCTTATCCTACAGCGCCATATTAGGTAGGACTCCTCATATATATTTGCTGTTGTGTAATCCCTGTATAGGGATTCCACGGAGCAGCTGGTGGGTTTGAAATGCTGACCTTGTGGTTAGCAGTCCAGTGTTTATCCTCTAGCACCACACCAGTGTACCTATATGTAGTTGTTGGTACTATAAGACAGACACTGAACTGCTGACCATGAGGCTGGAGGTACAAATCCACCTGCTGCTTGGAACTGTATACAGGGTCACTAAAGTTGAAATACACTTCACCGCATTTAACAGCAACCAATGGAAATAGACCGAGGGATTGAGATACTTGGAATCTTGTCTCCGCCTGGGGGTAGGGATGCGACCTAGACCATCTGCCTTTTCTCTGCTGTGCCAATTTCTACATTTCCTCTTGATGGGCACGTGTCAGTTCTAATTTTTTCTATAACGAACTACACAGCTACAAGGATCTTGGAGTTGGGCTTCCTCTCTGTACATACATCAATGTTTTTCGGAGGCGGGAGAAGATACAATAGCAAGTATTAAACAAGAGCTACAGTGTAGCAGGCACTTCAGAGACTTTTCATGAATGAATTCATTTAGTTCTCACAGAAACCCTAGGGGAGAGTTCACTATTATTGTTTCCATTTCACAGATGAGGCAAGGACGCACAGAGAAGTTAAGTAACTTGCCCAAGGTCACACAGCTAGTAAGTAGAGATACCTGGGTTCTGGGGCATGCATGTTTTCCAGGAAGAATTGTTTATTTTAATAAAAGAATTACGGGTCCTTGGTTTAAAAGAGCCAGAAAGTACCAAATGACAAAAGGGGCCTTGCCCACGGTGTTCTGCAAAGATGCTGGGGAAGGGGTGGTGCTGGGATGGAGGGTGGGGAATGAAGGGACAGAGGAGCCTGGAACCCCTTGCTCCAGGCTGTCAGAGGCCAGGTGTGGGTTCTGAGGCTGGGGGCAGGTCAGTCTTAGGGTATGACTCGTTTCACCTTTGCCTTCTAGAAAACCTTGATACCAGCTTGCAGCTGAGGGTGTCTTGGTGAGTGAGGGTTACAGTCTCAAGAACGGGTTGCGGTTGCTTTCCACATCCTTGTGGTGGCCCTAGGCCCTGACCACACACCTCCAGCTGCCCTTCCTCTGGGGAGAGACACTGAGGAGCACTGGTTTCTGGAACGTTGTTGTTAGGGGCCCTCGCCCCTTAGGATTTCCTGGCATATCACTTGTGAAGTTTCTGGTTAGCAGCTTGGTACTTCACCTTGGTGCCCCCAGAACTCCTTTCTCTGGACCGTTAGGGCTGGGTACCAGGCAGCGTACCACCCATGCGGGTCCTCAACCACCCTCTACTAGCGTCTCCATGGGTCCTGAGAAATGAAGGTGCTAGTCCAAACGTTTTTCCCGGCTTACTGCTGTGGGCTAATATGCAGCTTCTTGGAAGTGACCTCCAGCCAGGAAGGCGTCTGTCTGATGCTCCTGAGGAAATCCCCATAGCCCAGTGAGCGGTGGTCCAGAGCTGTCTTCAAAACAGGAAGTGCCCGCTGCCCGCCTATTCCAGGAACACTGGTGGCAGGAAGCCCCCCTGGCTGTGCCTGGCGTCTCCCTGTCACCAGTCTGGTGGGCCACCTTTTGCTCCTGAGCTTCTGAACCCGCCAGCTAATTCACCTGAGGTCTCTTTGTCCCAGTGTGGCCCTATCTCTCCATGCTAAGGCCAGCACAGGGAGTGCTTGTCCAGACTCAGAGGGTATCCTGGGGCAAGGAGTCCAGACTGGGATCAGCTCCAAGGTCTCTGTGCCACCCTAGGAGCAGGTCAGGCACTTTTCTGCCACACATAGGATTAACTGAGCACCTACTTACTGTGCAGTTCCTGGGTGGGGGACAGGGCTGAGTTGCAGGGCTCAGCCCTTCCATGCAATGTGACTCCTTGTGGGAGCGGAGAAAGACACAGGTATTGGGTGCTCTTAGGCCCCCCTCTGTGGTTAGGGGTGTGGCACATGGGACCCACAGTCCACTCCAACTCTTTCTTATAGGGGAGCTAGAAATAAAAGATTTCCCCCCAATTGGCCTGAGTCCTGGGGTGGCGCTTGGGCTAATGTGTCAGACTGCAAAGCCTTTTGAACTGCAAGGTCAGTGGTTCAAGCTCACCAGCTGCTCCTTGGAAACCCTATACAGGGTCACTATGAGTCAGAATCGACTCGATGGCACTTAACGACAACAACTCCAATTGGCTGATCCTGGGCTCAAAGCAGTGGTGTGGGGGACTGGGGAGGCCCGGCCTCATGGTCCAGATCCAAGGCCCCCACAGTCCAATTCCAATTCGAGGCCCCTCTGCTGGGGAATCGCAGGTTCCCAACCCTGATCTTAGGCCCAGGGATCCAAGCAACTCTGCCTTGAGCAGTTCCGCCCAGCCCCGCCCCCGCCCAGCCCCCTCCCGCCCTCGCTTCCTCCCTGGGCCCGGGGAACATTCCATTCATTCCCTGCTCACCGCGGCCGGGCCGGGGCCTAAGAGCAGCAGCCAGTGAGCGGGGCCCAGAGTGGGGCCAGGGCCAGGCGTGCAGGGAACAGGCTCCACGGGCAGTGGCCTCCCTGGGCAGCAACGCAGAGACCTGGGTGAGTGAGACCGGCCAAGCTTGGGGGTTCTGGGCTGGTGCAGGTTTCCTGGGACACTGCCCAGCCCCAGCCGGAGTCTCTGGGTGGACTTTGGCCTCTCTCTAGTGAGCCCCAGGAGGAGCTGAGAGCCACAGGATCCTGGCTCTGGGGGACAGAGTAGGGGCAGAGAAAGGGGCCTGTGGGTGGCCCAGAAGAATGGGGCCAAGACCCCTCACCCCATACCTTTCTTGTAGTGGTGTTCCTGTACTGGGGTCGGAGCCTCCCCTTCTTCCACCTCCCATCCCCTACATGGGACGCTGTGGGCAGAGTCTGGGGCCCCCTCAGCCCTGGGGGCTTGGTCAGCTTTTCCTGGCTTTGACTAAAGCTGCCATTTTCTCTCCAATCTGACTCTCCATCTTGATCACCTGGACCCTTCCAGGTAGCCAAGGGGTCTGCTGCCCACTGCACCCTCTCCAGTCCAGACTGTCCAGCTCCCAGGAGGACCCCTGCTGGATGTGTCCCAACTAGCTCCCAGGACAAGAGGGTGGGTAAGTGCAAAGGTGACAGAGATCTCTCCATGCACAACTTGTGGGGACTTCTTCCGTGGCATTAGACAGACCGCAGCCTTCCTGGGTAGAGGCCATAGATCACTTCCAAGCTGTGCAGGGTTGTACGTTCTCAAATGGTTTGCTCCTGCAGAGTCAGAACAGAGGGATGCAGGAGGTGGGTGAGCAACCAGGAGCTTCCTGGTGGCCCCAGCAAAGAAGGAAACATGCTTACAACACCTGCCAGTCCCCCAAAAGGGAAAATCCCTATGTTTTCCTGGAGGAGATGAAAAAATAAGCAGGATGGAGGTGGGGGCAGTCAAAGGAGTGAAGAGTTGCAGTGGTCAGCAGGAACCATGTGGTGGGTTGGTAAGATCTTTGTCTACACCAGCTATATGCCTCAGTTTCTTCTCCTGAAAAGTGGGTGGTAACACTAGTGACTCTCCTTCAGTGGGTGTGGGCTCAAAGGAGAAAGTCCACGGGGAGTATCCAGGACAGGTTTGGCCTGGGCAAGTCTACATAGATGTTGGTGGCCACTGCCAGGTATGCCCAGGTGTGACCTGGGTGGAGTGACTGGTTTCCTAGTATTTGTGTTTGGAGCCTGTTGTTTCTACATTTAAAGAGTTTAAAAGGGTGAATAGGAACGTTCTGGGACATGCTTAAGAGGCCTTGAAGAGTGCAGGATTGAGACCAGAGCTGAGCTAGCTCGTGGAGTATGTCCAGAGCATGGAGGTCTTCGTACACATGTGGAGGGGACAGCGCAGTGCCGGGGGTGCCTAGGACTCCTGACAGGGACGGAACAAGGTCCGGAGCGTGATAGTCCGCTGGTTCTACCAGCGATACGGGGGTGCTGGTTCAGGTGGAATGAGGACTAGAGGCAGAACGGGATCCTTCCTAGCTCCTGGTGCCCCTGGGTTAGAGAGGAGGCGCATGTGTTTGTATCACTGCATGGGGTAGACCTTTGCCCCAGCCTCGGCCTCAGCAGCTCCCCCATGCACATGTCCCTGGGGTGTGAACACACACAGGGACATATGCACACAGACCCGGGTCTCCCCTGGAACTTCCTGTTGGGTACTTGGATGATGAGAGGGCTGTGTGTGCTGCTCAGGGAAGTGGACTAGGTAGCCGCAGCTGTGGTCAGTGTGCTCGGGTGGGCAGCTATAAATAGCGTGTGTGCCAAGCTCCACTGGCTCTGTCTCCAGGCTGCTTCTCAGCTGCAGTTTCACTTTGATCTGTTTGCCTCTGACTCCCTCAGGTGTGGGGATCACCTGTATGGATACACAGGGAGTATTGGTTTGGGGGCTGGTAGTCTGGGGTCAGTACCATGGACCTCCTGCAGGCTCTTGGGGTCATGGGGGAGTACCTGGGAGACTTCTAGAGGAAGCAATCAGGTGCCTTGGGGTGGAGTGGGCTGGGCCTTCAGCAAGTAGAAGCCACAGCACAATCCTTCCCAGGGTGGTCCTTGACCCTGGCCATAGGTTAGACTGTAGGTTAAACTTTTTCTTAGAGAGTTGGGAATGGGTGTGTGCAGTTAGATGTGGCGGGGCATCATGCTAGGTGACCATGGCCCTCTGTGGCCTGTGTTCCAGAGACTCCTCCATGGGGCTGGGCTCCCCTGACTCCTCTCTCCCACAGGGTAATGGCGCTGTGGCTCTGGGCCCTGACGCTCCTGGGCTTGGCAGGCACATGCACAGGTCTGCGTCCCTGGAAGCCTGACTTCCAAAGCCAGTCGGAGCTGAACCACTTGGTTGTGGACAACACAACAGGTGGGGTGTACCTGGGGGCAGTGAACACGCTCTACCAACTGACCGCCGACCTGAAGCTGGTGCAGCAGGTGACCACGGGCCCGGCGCTGGACAACAAGAAGTGCACTCCACCCATCGAAAAGAGCCAATGTCAGGAGGCTGTGCTCACCAGCAACGTGAACCAGCTGCTGCTGCTAGACACACTCGAGGGCCGCGTGGTCGAGTGCGGCAGCCTCTTCAAAGGCATCTGCACCCTGCGCTCACTCAGCAATATCTCCCTGCGCCTCTTCTACGAGGACAGCAGCGGCGAGAAGTCCTTCGTGGCCAGCAATGATGAGTCTGTGGCAACCGTGGGACTGGTGAGCTCCACGGGCCCTGAAGGCCAGCGTGTGCTCTTTGTGGGCAAAGGCAACGGTCCACATGACAACGGCATCATCATCAGCACCCGCCTGCTGGACCGCACGGAGGGCAGGGAGGCCTTCGAGGCCTACACGGACCAGGCCACCTACAAGGCTGCCTACCTGTCCACCAACACACAGCAGTTTGTGGCCATCTTCGAGGATGGTCGCTACGTCTTCTTCATCTTCAACCAGCAGGATAAGCACCCAGCCCGGAACCGCACACTGCTGGCACGCATGTGCAAGGATGACCCCTCCTACTACTCCTACCTGGAGATGGACCTGGAGTGTCGGGACCCCGGTGACCCCCAGACCCCCACCTTCGGGACCTGCCTGGCAGCCTCTGTGGACCCAGGCCGGGCACTCTATGCTGTCTTCAGCCGGGATGGCAGGAGTGGAGGTGGTGGGGGTTTCCAGGCCAGCCTCTGCGTGTTCCTGTTGGACGAGATCTACGCCAAGATGGAGGCCAATCGCAACGCTTGCTACACAGGCGCCCGCGACGTGGGACGCAACCCTTTCTACAAGGCCTTCCACGGCGACATACAATGTGGTGGCCACTCGCACGTATGTGGGGGGTGGGGTGTCAGCGAGCGTGAGTGTGCAGGTGTGTCCATGTCCCCTGTGGAATGCTGTCCATGTGCAGGGTCAGTGTGAGCTAGTGAGTGGTCAGTGCAGCTTGACTGCTGTGAGCTTGTACAAGTGGGGGTGCCCACTTCTCCCTGGGGCTTCCTTCAGTTTATCTGTCCAGGCGTCCCCTCTGCCCTCACGCTGGCCATGGGGCAAGCATCTGTGAGCAGTTGGAGACCAGTTCAGCTCCTGTGGGTGTTTGACCCCTGGGGGTGTGGGAGGGGCCTCCGGGATATAGGGCAAGGAGGGCTATACATACTGCCCTTGATGTCGGGCTCTGTAGGTCGCCAGTCAGACCTTCCCCTGTGGCTCGGAGCACCTTCCCTACCCGCTGGGCAGCCGAGAGGGACTAACCGCCACGGCCGTGCTGCAGCGGGGTGGCTTGAACCTGACAGCTGTGACGGTGACCTCCGAGGACAGTCACACCATCGCCTTCCTGGGCACCTCTGATGGCAGGATCCTCAAGGTGAGGCAGAGCCAGGAGGGACATGGGGAAGGTTCTGGAAGGCAGTCTGTCAGAACCACAAGACTCATGCCCTCCTCTCACCAGGTGTATCTCACCCCAAACCACACCTCCGTGGAGTATGGCTCTATTCTTGTAGAGCTCAACAAGAGGATCAAGCAAGACTTGGCATTGTCCACAGACCTGACCAGTGTGTACGCCATGACTCAGGATAAGGTAGGCTAGAGGTGGCCCAGAGCGGGCAAGGAGGCCGTGGGAGGGGGGCGGACTCTGGGCTTCGGTGGCCCAGCCACGTCCCTGGAGCAGGACTGGGCAGCTGGGCGGGTTTCTGGGTGGTTCTGTAGCACCGCCCATGTCTCTGTAACTTTGTCTGTCTGTCTGTCCTGTGTCTTGACTGCGTCTCTCTCTCTCTGGCTCTGCCTCCGCCTTGTTCTGAGGAAGGGATCTGGGTCAGTGCTGTGCGTGGGCCTCCCCCAGGGGTGGAAGGGCAGGGAGAAGGGACCCTGTACGTTCTCGGAGGTTTCTTAGAGAGGGTAGAGGCGGGCCAATTGGTGCTGGTTTTCCTGGGAGGCGCATTTGGTAGGCACAGGAGCCCCTCAAGCTGGCTTTGGGGGCACCCAGGATATGCAAGAGCCTATATCACTTGGAGAGTCAGAGGGCTTGGGGGGCACAGAAGGGCCCATGGCCAGGACCCCCAGCTTCTCTGGACCAGACCTGTCTGAGTCCGCTCCCTTCCCATAGGTGTTCCAGCTCCCTGTGCAGGAGTGCCTGAGTTACCCCACCTGTGCACAGTGTCGCGACTCGCAGGACCCCTACTGTGGCTGGTGTGTCGTGGACGGACGGTGAGCTTCTGGGTCCCAGCCTGGGATGGGTGGGTACTGCGCTTGTAGGGGTATCTGGTGATACAACCCTGCCCCCAGAGTCTGGGGAGAACAAGACCCCACCCTGGGGGCTGAGGGATGCTTCGGCTGAGCCTGTTGTGCTCCCCGCCCCCCATCACCTCACCCAGATGCACCAGGAAAGCCAACTGTTCTCGAGCCAAGGAGACTGGCCACTGGCTTTGGAGCCGGGACAATGCCTGCATGACCATCACCAGTGCCCAGCCACAAAACATGAGCCGTCGGGCGCAGGGCGAGGTGCGTGTTGGCGGGGGGCATACAGCGGAGCGGCTCCCCCAGCCCTGCTGCTGTCCAGGCACTGAGGGGGAGGTGACCCGTGAACATGGCTTGTTCTTTTGTCCCTGCCGGGCAGACCAGGCCCTTTCCCAGGAGTTGCTGGGGTGACAGATGTGAGGGATCTTGTTTTGGGTGAAGGCAGAGCTATGTTCTAGAGGCTCCCTTGTCCACGCAGGTGGGAGGGGGTGTCCAATGAGCCTCTGCTCCTCCCAGGTGCAGCTGACGGTCAGCCCCCTCCCTACCCTGAGAGAGGAGGACAAGCTGCTCTGCCACTTTGGTGACTCGCCACCGCATCTCACCCGTGTGGAGGGAGACATGGTCTTCTGCAACTCCCCAAGCGTCATTCCCAGCACGCCAGCTGGCCAGGGTGAGCCTCTGTCAGCACACCTGGGGGCAGCACAAGGGCCTCCTTGCTCTGGGAGGTTGGACTCTGGCAGGCACAATGGGGCTGCCCCTCCCCTCCAGGCCATGGGGTAGGATCCCTGGTCTGAGCCCGGTGTTCGGTGCTCCTGTGCCTGACTTTCTGTACTCCAGCCAGGGCCCTGAGATGGCAGGACGCTCCCCAGAGGCTGAATGTGGGCCGGGGAAGGCAGGGGCAGGGCCTGGCAGTGACGTGAGCAGGGACCCCGCAGGCTCTGTGCCCAGACACATAGGAGGCAAGGCCCTCAGCAGCTACAGGGACAGAGAGAGGCTCAGACAGCCCTAAGCCCTGGGGAGAAATGGGAGCCTCGCTCTGGGACCCTATGATCTGATTGTGGGGTATGGGCAGAGGGCCAGATCTGATCGTGGGGTGTGGGCAGAGGGCCCAGATCTGATCGTGGGGGTGTGGGCAGAGGCCCAGATCTAATCGTGGGGGGCCCAGCTGGGTTAGAATGAAGGGTGGTGGTAGGGAATAGAAAGGCCAGAGTTGGCTGTGGGGGACCCAGCTGAGACTAGGGGCTGAGGGCCAGAGCTGATTGTTAGGGGGTGTCAGGACTGGTAGTGGGGGATCCAGCTGGACTAGCGCAAGGAGAGCAGCAGTAGTGGGGGGTAGGGAGGCCAGAGCTGGAAATGAGGGCCCAGCGGGGACACCAGTGTTAAGCCTTGGTCTCTGATCCAATGAGAGGAGAAGGGCTGGGAAGGGGGGCCCTCTCTGGGCACGTCCTGCTTGTGGCCACAGCCTCCCGCATTTACTGTTTTCCCAGATCATGTGACCGTGAATCTCCAGCTGCGTCTCCAAAACGGTGACATCTTCCTCACTTCCCACCCGTACCCCTTCTACGACTGCCACGAAGCGATGCATTTAGTGGAGAACCTTCCGTGAGTGCTGCCCACCATCCCCCCTGTGGCCGCCCCTCCCCCACACCCCTCCCCCCAGGTGCACCTCCTGTACCCGCAGCCCGCCCGCACCCCTCACGCCGCCTCCCCATAGGTGCATCTCCTGCACCAGCAACCGCTGGACTTGTCAGTGGGACCTCATGTACCACTCATGCCAGGAGGCCTCACCCAACCCCGAGGAGCGCATCGTCCGCGCCCACATGGTGAGCCGAGGGACAGCGAGTGTCTTGGCCGCGGTGCTCAGCTGCCGCCTGACCACCACTGACTGACCTCCCTGTCCCCCAGGAGGAGAATTGCCCCCAGTTCCTGAACCCCAGCCCCCTGGTCATCCCCATGAACCACGAGACAGATGTGACCTTTCAGGGCAGGAACCTGGACACGGTGAAGGTAGGTAAGAAGTGTGACCTAGTTGGGGTCACTCTCCCTGACACTGAAGTTGGGGTGCCTGGCCATGCCCCTCCTCCTTGGCTCAGGGCCTGGATAGTCAGGCGCTTGTAGGCAGAGGGGAGTGGGAGGGGACACACTAGGGACTGAGTGGGCCAAGGTCAACAGGAGTGTGGGGTGGAGCTGGGACAACAGGGGGCTTGGAGAGAACCAAGGCCAGAGAGGCGGGTGAAGGTGTGGACCATATTTGGGGTGCCCTGGGTCATCCATGAGGAGACGTCGGCTGGGTCTCAGAGTGGGGTGTGTCTGTCCCGTACATGTGTGTGGCACAGTGGGTGGGCCTTGGAGGAAAGAAACCTGACATGCTGTCCCCACAGAGCACCTCCCTGTATGTGGGGAGCGACCTGCTCAACTTCAAGGAGCTAGTGAGCATGCAGCAGCCAGGAACCTTCTCCTTCCGAACCCCAAAGGTATGCTCCCCAGGAAGCCCTGAGCACCCACTCCCGCATAGCCTCTCCTGGGTCCCTCAGCTGCCCCAGGGGACCACACAGCATTGCTGTCTCTCTGGGTAATCCAGTATGCACGACCATCTGAACTGCTGTCTGGTTCCCAAGGTTGGGGGTCCCAGTGGGTGGGGCTATGAACACAGTATGTCTCTGCCTGCCTGCCTCCCTCCAGCTGTCCCATGACACAAACGAGACGCTGCCCCTTCACCTGTATGTCAAGTCCTACAGCAAGAATATTGACAGCAAACTGCAAGGTGCTGGCCGGTGGGCGGGCTGGGGAGGGGCTGATGGACAAGGCCTGGGCAGGCTGGCAGGCCACACTGGCCACTGACCTCTGCTTGTTCCTCTTCCCCAGTGACTCTGTACAACTGCTCCTTTGGCCGAAGCGACTGCAGCTTGTGCCTGGCCGCCGACCCTGCCTACAAGTGTGTGTGGTGCGGCGCACACAGCAAGTGTGTGTACCAGGCTCTGTGCAGCAATGCCACTGCTGAGTGCCCGCCTCCCGTGATCACTAGGGTGAGCCCAACAGAGCCTGTCCTGAGTCCTCTACCCAACCCTTCCTGCCCAAGGGCCGCCAGTCAGCTTGCTCTGCCGATTCCAGATCCAGCCCCAGACAGGCCCACTGGGAGGGGGCGTTCGCATCACCATCTTTGGGTCGAATTTGGGCATCAAGGCAGATGATGTTAAGAGGGTGACTGTGGCCGGCCGGAACTGCACCTTCGAGCCAGAACGGTATTCTGTGTCCACCCGGTGAGTGACTGAGGTGGTTTATGGGTCTCCTGGGTATCTCTTCCACCGTGGGGAGCTCAGGGCTAGATAACTGGACAGATGTGGGGGAGGCTGTGGCTTCAACCTGCATGAGTTCCACCACATACAGGGCACCAGCATGGGATGGCCAGGCCTGGGAGGCTCAGGGAGGAGCTACTGTCTGCGAGGCTGGGGGGACCTGGGGGAGGAACTGCCATCTGCATGGGTGGGGGGACCTGGGGGAGGAACT